CTCTCCGTCTGCCTCTCCGTCTGCCTCTCCGTCTGCCTCTCCGTCTGCCTCTCCGTCTGCCTCTCCGGCTATCCGTCAGTCCGTTTGTCCGTCAATACGTTTGGCCGTCAGTCCGTTTGGCCGTTCTCATCAATATTTTGAAAATTATTGGTCAATTTTTTTTTTATTAAACATTATTTTCGGATAGCGTGAAGACTGCTTAATAGGGTGGTGCAAGCCTCATTTTCGTTGAAATCGGTTCCAAAAGTGGTAATAGTCTCATTTTCGGCGAACTCTGTATTTTCTAAAATTGCAAAAAATTAACATTGAATAAGATCAATGTTAACTTCTTTATTTTGAATTGAAGACAGAGAGTTTTATTTTAAGTGAAATCTAAATTTCTCAAAAATGATAATTTCCTTAAAAATAAATTATATTAAAAAAGGCCATGTACACATTTTTTTAAACAATGAGCCGTTTTCGAATAACTTCTGCATGAAGTTACCAAAACATTATATACAGAACATTTTTTTTAAAATAACGCCTACATTTTTTCTTCTTCTAAATTCTTTTTGTCTTCGTCCACAAATTGAACGAGCAATGCTTAAACGAGAGGCGCAGGTTTCATTTTCGTTGATTTCTCTGAATTTCCTAAAATTGCAAATTTAAACATCATGCTATGTGCTATTGTAGTAGCCCTGCTTTCGTAATATCAAACTTACTGCACAAAATTATGCACCCAATTAATGAGAACGAAATGCATTGTCTTATCAACTTACGTTTGATTTACGACATCAGGAGCTTCCAATCAATGCTCCCTTGGCAACCAAATGCAGCATCATTCTTATTTTAATGCCACGCACTGATTAGTGCGTAGTCTAGTCTCCAGAAGTTCCTAACGCCTTCTTGTGAGATTTATCTTCAACAAGAACGGTAGTTTGTCATCGCTTTCCTTAGGGGCGCTATTGGGCCAATTTTGACGTTTGATTTGAATACCAGATAGCCCAGGCCAAAATACAATATCCGCAATCTCATGAAGTAATTCAATTCGAAACTCTGGTGCTAAATTGCTAAAGGATTTAATTTTGCCAGGATCAAAAAAGTGCTTTTCCTGGAATTTGATTTACAAGCCGACTTGCGTCTGCCTGGTGATTTTTGAATCCTCATAAATTAATCCGACTTTTATGCGTTTCAACCCGCAATATTTGGATCAGTAGCCCAACATGATAACCATTCTACCATCAAAGCCGGTCCATATGCATCCATTCAAGTTAAAAAGTAGCTACAGAATGGTAAGGACTTTTCCGTACTTGTTAGTGTTCTAATTTTTCTTTTAAATCTGGGCTAGGTTTCATATTTTGCCCCATCCTTTTCCCAATGCCATCAATCGCCACCCAAGATATTGTTTTCATTTTTTTCTTTCATTTTTTTGATTCCTAAACGGTAGAACTGAAACATGACTTTACGAATATTATAAAAGAGTAAAACCTCGACCTACACAATTTGTGTAGAAAACGTTGAAGAAAATGTTGCTTGAGCGTTTCGAAAATGCGCATTTTGAAGCTCATTTTCACCCAAAACGTTTGGGTTTTTGAGAAACTTCATTAATCAAACTTGTACTCACAAATGTGAATAGAAATTTCCGGAAATGTAAATAAATACTGCATGATAAATATTTCAAAACATTACTTTTGTGTAATTTTTTTAAAAAAAGATTACAGCGAAATGGATTTTATGTCATCTTGAACAGTGCTTTGAGCACTATCATGACAAAACGTTTGAAGAAAAAATTTAGAGCAGTTTTTGAGAAAATGTCGTTTTTCTAAATTAGGAATTTTGGATTGAATTTCACAGAAAACCTTTGCGTTTTGGAGAAACTTTATGAGACTTCATGTAAAGCACAAGTACACATAAATGCAATTATGCATACAAATCGCCTGTAATGTAAATACCAACGACGTGAAAGAGATAAAAATATTACATTGGTGTAATTTTAAAAAATTGAGCAAAATATCGTTAGTTATGTTACATTACATTTATCAGTACCCCAAAAAAGTTACAGACAAAATTTGAGGCAGCTCTAAAAAAATATAGTTTTTGATTTTTTTTAAATTTGCACGTTCCTAGTCAAAATTGCACGAATACTACAAACATATTCAAAATATGTGCATGGCACTAATGAAAGAACCAACTGTAGAGAAAACAAATTTTACTACAAGGAAAAATCTCCATCTTCAATTTTGAAGTTGTAGGAAGACGCCGAAAAAAATCAAAGTTTTGCCATTTTCAAAAATTCAATGTTAAGAGTGAAAATCGAACCTATTCCATCTTTTTTAGTGTATTTCACACTATTGTTATAAGAAATTTTAAAAAAAACATGTGGATCCATTTTTGGTAAATTTTGAAAATGTCCTGGGGTTTTAAGTAAAGTAGTCCAAAAATGAATTAATATTATTCAAAATTGCAGAGCTTTGAGTGAGACCAGATCGACCGAGGGGTTTTCATTTTCGAAAATTCATTCTATGCGTAGTTTAGGAGCTAGGGTTGTTAATAGGTGAGAAACGGGCAGACAGACGGATGAACTAATGGACGGATGGTTTGAAAAAAAACACTTTTTCTGTATAAGCAACCACAAAACAACTTCCCTTGAAATATCCAAACTGATTTTCCGCAACATTACATTACTTTCTCGATACTACGTTACTCCGTGTTTAACGTACGAGACATACGAGAAAGTAATACGAAGGAGTCGGAATTTGCCCACTGATGGCGCGGTGAGCGCTTAGGAATAGAAGGCGATGCCACGATACAAGAGAAGAAATGTGTTAACTTGTTGCTTTTTCCTCGAATTTTGTGAAACTAATTTCAAAGTAAGTTCTCCGTACAGTGAGCTGGACTCGAATTGGTTATTTATGATGGCGTCACGCGCATGTAATATTGGTGTTTTAGTAAACATTGGGGTTATTTAGTAATAAAAATATTTATTTACAAACACTTTCATGAAAATTACTCTAATGTATTACGAAAAATCCACATACATAATAAATATTATCTTATTAAACATTCCTTAACTATACAATTGAATTCTTGGACTATTTGATATGCTTTTTACTTTCTCGCATATTTCTCGTGCAGTATAGAGAAAATATTGTAACACTTCGTGGAAAACGAGGTTTTTTCGCCAGAAAAACTCTTACTGCCGGGCCCTGAAACACAAAAGTGGATAAATCTTGTTCCTATTTGGAGTAAATAACTTCCTCCAACACGCTGTGGAAACAGAATCCAAGTTTTGGGCTCTTGATCGGAGAAACGACAGAAAATTAGCGATTAGCGCAGCTGGGCGTTAGGGTTATTCTCCAGACAGCGGCTGAATTCGACCTAGCTACCTACCTAGTATAGAAAATCCTGCCACCGTAGTGACTTCATCCGTAGGACTTCGCAGTCAGGGGCACAGCACTGACATCAATTGATGCCCTGGTTTACCTAAAATGGTACTACACGTTAATTATCTTACGGAGTAAGAATAATTCTTAGTATGAATTCTTACATCATTTATCATGACATTAGTCAGTTCATTCAAAGTGTATTTCGTAAATGCAAACTTTGCCCTTTGATTTCCATTTTTTCTGTGGCTTAACGTCTACCAATTTCTTTTGAATATCCTCTGGATTCGGAACGGAAAACACAGTTACGTACTTGATAATATTTCCATGAATCACTACGATTATCACACATAGTAACAAAATAATTTCAACCCATTACTCCAAAAGTTTATATTTATTTTGCCGTTATTTTATGATAAACTTTTCACGATAACACCGTGTTTATAACGAAACGCCATGATACAGCATATCATTTGCTGTTTGAGCCTGGAATGTTGACACACTTGTTCTCTTAACGCGACGCCACACATCCGGTAATAGGCAAGTAGCGAGCGACTACTCGCCGAATTTCGAGTTCTGGAAAAAGGCTGCTGTGTATTTGTTGAGAGACGAACGTTCGGTGCTCGCCCTACCCAGGACGAGTCAGTCTTTTGGAAAAAAGCGAACATTCGCCGAGGACACCAATCACTCGGGATTGGGCGAGTGGCTCGTTATTCGACGAATGTCCAACGTGTGAACAGTGGCCCTGGCCGGTTCTAGTCTCAATTGGGGCAGGATTTTTTACACTTGCTTCTCACCTAGGTCGAAATTCAGCCGCTGCCTGGAGATACGTGGAGTTTGCGGTGGCAATGGTGTAACGGTTAGCGTATTGGACTGTTGGCGGGTTCAAACCCGATTAAAGCCGTGGATTTTTAAGGACGAAAAAATCCTTCGTACGCCTTCCTTCGGAGGGGAAGTAAAGCCGGCTGTCCCATGTTCGTAGATTTACTTGCATGTAAAAGATCCTCAAGCCTAAATGACGTCTCTGAGCTAAATTCAAATCGCCTGTTTCTCGCTCAAATACCTCCTTTCTCTCCTAGTTGGTGGTCGCGGTTGCGTGGTCAGATTGCGTGGTCAAATTTGTGTGGTCAGACGGAAGAGCGGACCTGATGGCCCGAGTCTCGCCACGTAAAATAAGGCCAATTCAATTCAATTCAATTCAATACGTCAATTGTAGCGGCTTTCCGCTCTGATCGGTTGTTTTCCGTGGTTTGTCCGATCAACACCAAGCGAAAACCGGGGCCGTGCCCTAACAAATGGGCCACGGACAGCGCGCGATCTTTCCCTTGACCTATGCTTACCCCATACTTACACACACTTACATGCCCTACAACACCACATGTGTCAAGAAACCAGTCGGGAGTTGCCCTGCGGAGGGAGATACCTGGTGGGAGAAAACCCCGCTAGCTGTCAAGTAGGTCGGCGCCGGATCTCGCCATCCAGAGAACAAATGTCACCGTAATCTCTCGCGAAAAAGAACATACCTTGAATTTACGAAAGAAATGACCTTAGCAGTTGACGCGCCCGGAATCACTAATGAATCTATCGAATGTGTGGAGCCGCCTTTTCAGCGAGGCAAAGTCGAGACGTGGAGATCCCAGGAGTGGGACACTCACCGCGCGGGAAGTAGAAAACGAATTAATACGAGAACGTCTGTGCCATTCTATAGCATCTCTAGTTATAATTCCAACACACATTTTCATATTAGTTATAATGATGATTGATTGATAGCTTCCGGACACGTCAACCCCCAGGTTCATTACTTCCATAAGTGTAATACTTTTTTATTTTGCTCGGGAGGTGGCGACGATCTTTTCCCCACAGTATGGCGAAATACGGCGCTGACGAACGGTCGGCTAGGAGGGTTTTTCCGAACCAGTTATCTCCCACCAGGCACCGCCCCAGGCGGGAAAAGCTTTTAGCTCCCGACGGGTCTCCTGACATGTTTGGTAGTGTAGTGCGTGTTAATGTAAATGAGCGTAAGGGGTGAGGATTCGACAAGAAGGAGGAAGGCGCGCGGTTCGTGGCCCTTTTGTTAGGGTACTGCTCCAGCATCCGCCTGGTGTTGATCGGAGAAACCACGGAAACTACCGATCAGAGCAGCCGGCCGCTAGAATTCTACTCCACACAGGGACTGAACTCGACTTAGCTAACAAGCGAGTGTCGACAACCCTCCCACCGTCGGGACTCGAATCTAGGACCTCCCGGTCAGAGTGACTGCAGTGACATCAGTTGATACCCTGAGCCATCTCTCCCGATTCTAATGATGATTGCGACGTGATTGGAAAAGAATTAGAATATTGATACTAGACAACATACTTTTCTCAAACGCGAAAAGTCATGGATGTTTTGAAAACATCGACGCCGATATGGCGTCCCTAATGTCTGGGTCACTCACCGGGCGGGAAGTTGGGCGGGCGCTCGTACGCCTGATGGTAGAGGCGCTTCGCCGCCAGGAGCGCTAGCAGCACCGTCACCGTCACCAGCAGCACCACCACCAGAGCCATGATCGCGCGGCGCCTGCAAAGAACTGGCAGGTCACGTCTCACAGAACAACCATATTTTCAACGGCGTGTACCAAGATAACTAGACGAACGATGAAGAAAGAATACAGAAGATTTATATTTTTAGTTCGTTGCAAAATATCATAAAATCCTTGAGATTCGTGTTCAAGTGACGTAGATCAATGTTTTCATGATTAGATATTATGTGGTATAATAATGTGGTATTCTGTGGCGTTAATACAGACCATTAAAAAATTAACGAACTTGACGACTTGGTTCTCTTACTTCACAGTTATCATCATGCTTAACTTGGTATAATCACTACAGGATACCACAAAGCTGTATTTCCCCCATTTAGAACTTTTACTGCTAATTAATAAGACAAAAATACTTTAATTTCTCTTCAACTTTTTGTGAAATTGTTAGCTGGTTTAAGGTTAGAACCACAACTAGCTAAATGTATTTTCGTAAAATAATTTGGCAGTTTCTAAAAACTTTATTTTTTAAGAAATTTTTTTTCACTATGAAGCTTGCTATACTTTTAAGTCAACTCACCTTCAATGAAATAAAAAATTGAAAAGCCATTACATTATTTTTATGGAATTTTACATAGCGATAAGCAGTTCTCAATGACGACATGCTTGTTTTGTTGGTGTGCGGTTGATGTGCCATCTTCATAACTACAAATACATTTCATGAGGTATAATAATATGCTGATTCAGGAAACCCGATGGCGATTGGACGGCATGAATGGCATGATGAGCCTCTTCATCAACAAATTGCTATAAAGGATGAGTCACGTAACATTAACACCTCCTGTAATTTTGAGCGGTTGAAGTTATTGCAATGCAATTTTCACGGAAGTGCAAGACGTAATGGGTGATAAAATTCCATTTCATAACTTCTGTTTTACGAGATAATCAGGTAACTTTCTTTCTTTGTTTTTCAAATGGAACTATACATATTTTCTTTGTTTATAGTGACGAGCGCAAAAAGTCGAATCCCATAATATACGATACGTATTATCATATGTTAGATAAAAATTTATTGAGTGATTTTCATTTTTTGCGACTTTTGTTTAACGGATAACTGGTTACGAAAAGTGGATGAAACTAGTATATCAGAGTTTTCTGACAAAAAATCGTCATTTTCCTGCGTCTGATTACAATATTTTCTCTTTTAACATAATAAGGCAACAAAGTAAGACAACAATTTTAGTTTCTTAAGCTTCACTATTGTAAACTAGTGGTCGATGTGTGACCGTAATTCATTAAATTTTTAGTTTTTAACGTTATTGAGTTTCTTTTGTAGAAGACAGTAGATGTATAATTATCGCATAAAATTATTTTCAATTTTGTTCTATTACATCATCTGCGAGCATGTACAAATTTGTGTTTTGTTAGCCTTAATGCCCTGCATTACCTATTAAATTTGTAAACCTATGAAAATGTGCCTATAAAAACTGGGGATCACTACACTTCTAGCTCCTCTCGCATGGCTGAGAAACCATGGCTCAAGAATCATGCAAATATTGAACTTCTCCCATTGTCAACAAGTTTTAGCGGTTTTTTACTTAAAAAATACAAAGAAAATTAGTTTCGTTACCTCAAACGCCAACAGAGCAATGTCCTTTGGAAATCAAATATACCCTTTCTTTACGTGTAATGTTATGTGAACTGAAAAGTAACATCCCTACGAACTTTTATAAGAAACTAATTTTTTATTAAAAATTTAAACGAAAGCTTTAATTTCATTTGATTCATTTTGTCAATGAGGAGTAAAACCTGTAGGTGAAGACTGCGGGAGATCAACCTGCGCACGTTTTCTTAATCACCGGAATCTCTTCCTCGCCTTTAATCATAAATAGTTGAATGATGAATGAAAGTACCAACAAAGCGAGGTTAGAAATATTTGAAAATAGACATTGTCAATCACGAGATATACAAAACTTATTTGCATCATTGAACGCACAATTACCACAAGTACCAAATGTGAGTTCAACACTGCCTACAGTGAAGCTACATTTAGTATGTTCAGAAGCAAAACAAGTGGCTGCTTCAGCATCCACTCGATGAATCAGGGAAACTGGACGAAAATCTGAATGAGATGGGGGTTGTTGAATATGAAGCTGAAGTACATTACGTATCAAAGGTTCACTTCACTCCACATTACCAGACGACATTAAAAAATTAAAATCAATACACTTTTAGTTAAAAGTAAAATCTGCAGCTTAACTGTTTCTATACAAGTAGAGTCTATAATTGCCACCAAAAAGAATCTAGAGACTGTTAGACTGTTATGCACAGAGAAGATTTTACTTATAACATAAATTTGTGTATCGATTTTTAATTATTTAATGACATCTGGCAATGCGCAGTAAAGAAACGTATTTGTATTACATGTAGATTTCGCATATAGAGCTCTTGCAACTGACGCTGTATATATGTGATTTCTACAACGTGTATTGTAATTATAAATATCAGTATTCCATGAAAATATAATCGCACAGATAAGGCGGTTAGTTTTGGCAAAAACTACAGATTCGAAAATAAATAGACAAGGCAATGGTAATATTCCAAACTGTATGAAAAGGTGCTTTTAGAAATCACATGGATAGCATTTGCTTATTATTCGATATTTTTCTTCTGCAATCTTAAGTCTGGGTACTGGAGGATGAACTTTCGCTAAATATTATGCCATATCTCAGGCGTGAATATACATTTGCAAAATACACGCAACAAGCTGCTCGAATGTTGACAGAATTTGAAATAATTCTGAACGGTAACATAATCGACTTTATTTTGTGTTTATTTCAGTTGTATGGATAATCCATTTGAAGTTCGACTGCAAAAGCTTGAAATAAATCGTCTAAAAACGTCTCATTTTGTTGATATATGGCATATAAAACAAAACTCTTGTCTCCTAGACAAGAAAATCAATCATTAAGGTTCTAAAATGCACAGTTTACGAGTTATATATGATGTACGATAGTAGTGTGCTGCAACGTGTTGCGGGTGGGATCTGCATGCTATATTGTTTCATTCAATATATTTGTAACACATACAGGGTGGATTTCTGAGTCGCAGATTTGAAACCGCGGCTTTGAAGCCACGTTTTGAGCCGTGGCGTGAATCCGATTAATAAAACGATTATTAAACGAAGTTTGGTGAGGCCGCGGTCTCAAGCCCGGGCCCTGGAAAATCGGTTTGGCAACATTGCGTTGGCGTGTGCGAACGGCGGGTGACGCGTGTTTTTGCTACTGCTACTGCAAAAACACGCGTCGAACGCCGTTCGCCCTTGCCAACGAAATGTTGCCAAACCGATTTCTCAGGTCCCGGGCTTGAGACCGCGACCTCACCAAACTTCATTTAATTATCGTTTTATTAATCTGACTGACTAGTTCGCGGCAAAGTAGTGGCTATGCGTTCGATGGCGTAGGTATGCATTGTATTTCCATTCTTATTTTGGACGGTAATGAATGACGAATTACGCTTTTAAAATAATTACAAGGCCATGCCAAAATTTCATTCTGTACTAATACAGATGACTCGGTTTGAGAAAGAAAGGGGGATTCTGACAAATTTGTCAGAAGAACTCAGTTTTAGAAATAAAGCGGTACTGTTATCAATAATTAGTGAGAAGAGGCAACCTTGGATAAAAATATGCGAGGAATTCACGCTTACTTGCATTTCTCTTATTTTATAGTAGTGACATTTATTGTTTGTAGGTGATGTAATTGGTTTCGAGTAATGGAAAGTGATTGATCTGATGAACATTATTTTTTTTAATGTTACTAGAAAATCTTGAAACAGAACATCCTGCCAATGTTTAATTTTTTTAATTAGTGCGATTTTTTATATCATTCACTGCAAACTAAATTCTTTTTAGAGAGCTATGAACTTTACTTCTGAGTTAATAATACAAGACAATGAATGCAGTTCATATTGTGAGGGGTAAAGTTTTGCTGTTAGATTTGTAAAATCTTAAAGACATTATTGTATTACAAAAGGATAGTAGTACATGTTAAAATGAAATGTTCTTCAAACAGTAGTGCAGAAAGAGAGTTGCTAATTTAAATAATAATAAACATAAGAATTTATGTTAATATCTGCAATTTAAATTTGGTTATTGCTAATAGATCCTTACAAATTTCGTGTTTTTCTTTTGTAAAATTGTTTCTTTTATCAATGTTTGCTTGTGTCTATGCCTCTGAAAGCGTTTGAAAGATGGAACAAAAAGAGGACAATTATTGATAATAATAGTTGGAATATAAATGATAGACAGTAGAAAAGTGGATTTAATGAGTAATGCTTCCAGGACTTCTGGCACAATTTCTACTCCTGTAATTCTAAAAAAGTTAAAGGAATAATTATTTATCACTAACCTATTTGAATTAATTCTTGTAGTGCAAAAATAGTCCACTCATGCCGTTTAGTTTTATAGAAAGTAATAGTTTTCTTGAAATCAATTATGAATGTCCTTGATAAAAATTAATTTGCCATATTTTAATTTATCTCTTTTGTTAGGAAAAAAATCTATTTTGAAGAGGAATTATTGAAGATGGAAGAACACGGCAAAACTGACAGTACATGTAAAAAATACAGATTGAAAATAAAGAAAAACCCATCCCTGCTCGAACGTAAACTCCAAAAACATTATAGCATGACAAGTTGCAATGAAAACAAAATTTGTATCTTCTGTTTTTCTTAATAAATAATGACGAAAACTCGCTTTAAATGAGATGAGCTTTGAGTCACTTGTAAATCCGTCCTATTCCGTCCATATGATTGTAGTTACTTTGCAAAATTTTAGCCGTATATCGTTTCTTTCAAAAACCTGAATCTCCAAATTCCAGTTCGTTGCATTGTTCTAAGGAATTGCTACAATCTCGCAACATTCTTGCTATCGGGTTAAGTTCCTGAGCCGATGAACATTGGCTCAAAATTCTTCCATACGTTTCAAGTACTACGAACATATTCTGCTATTTGAATGAATGAGACATAGCTTCAAACCACC